GGTTTTAACGTTTCGACCTACTGAAGACCAAAAGACTAAAGGCAAGAAAGACATAATTTTAAAAGTACCTATGTGTATTTATAAATGTGATTATTTGTATTAGGGTACATACATCATTTAATTGATTTCTGTAGACGTCCAGCATGCATGAATAAGGAGTATGAAATACAAGGATCAAACATATTTTTATAAAACATTCATCATTTTGTAGATAATTGGATCCAATTTTTTGTTTGAACAATCTTTCATTTCTTTAACAACCTTCCATGTTTAACAGTTCGAAATTCAAAATTGAATATGGTAGATACAATACGAAGTAATTGAATGTTTTTGATCGGGCATTTACAACGAGATCATTATTTGATCAGCGATAATCGATCTGCATTAGTACCAGTTTAAAGGTAATAAGTAATAATCGATCACATCGTTACGTAGAAAATTTACTAAAAGAATTAGTCAAAATCGATTTTAAAAATCAGGTAGCGGTCTAGGAAAGTAAACTGACATATGTGTATACTCCTGTGTTTCACCTACAAATCTAATGCCTCTTCTGGTAAGAAACGGAAATAATTGGCACTGAATCCGTAATAATTGTAGGTAATTGAGGTAATCACCAGAAAAGAAAAAAAAAAGGGTTTTTCGAGAATTGAAGTTTTTACAATTAAATCCATGACTGTAAGTCGCCTCCGACCACGACTAGTGCAACCTGATCCAGACGTCAGACTATTCAGAGGTTTGTAAAATCTATTAATCGCGTTTATTTCCGTTAGATAGTAATAATTATGTGGTAAGTACAATTAAGGGGTATAGAATCAAAGCCAGCTAAATCCATTAGCCTGGTGGGTATAGAACTATGAACGCTATTTTATTCCTTATCCAAATTTGTACATGTTAGGTAAACCGTTTGGTATTAAACGCAGCTATTTTTTAAAGAAAAACCACTTCAAACTCACTCGTTAGAATCAAAGTCAGCTTTATCCAGTATTGTCAGAAACAAATGCAGCAAGTCCAATTTTAATATGGCATGTGTCATACAAACGCGTGCGTCCGTGTCTGCAGTTTTAATTAAAATTTTAAACCTTTTTGGTCAATTTTCAATAAAAAAAGATAATATTTAGTGCCATGGAAGTGTCAGTAACCGAAGCAGCACAAGGAAGTGTTCGAAAACGTAAGAAACAGCCTGCAAATGGGAAAGTAAACAAGGCAAAAATTGATAGATAAGTATAGAGTAGTGACATCACTAAACTGATTGAGAGTGAGTACATACTCACTCTCAATCAGTTTCGATAAAACTGTTGCATTGCAGGTACACATTTCGTCTTTCAACAGTTTTTATTACTTTTACTTATCGCATTGTCTGTAATCAAATCTTACATGTTAAATTTGATCGACATTCCGTCGTTTAAAGACCGATCGTTTAAAGTTGAGTTGAAATGCACGGATGGCGTTTAGCGGTCGCCCCGCCGCTTCCTACTACGCTGAGTAATGTGGGTAATACGCTAAGGATTTAGATTTGATTTTAGTATCTCAACTACGTACGATGAATAATTTTCTACTTTCTTAATAAATAATAAGGCCAAAAACATATGTCTATCACTTTGGCACATTCATAATCGTAACTTGTCATGCGTTTCAAACTTTAAATTTTATGGTTTCCTTATTAGCTAACGAACGTACTATAATCTAAAATATTAATTTTGCTTTGTATTTTCGAAATTCTGATGCATATCTGCTCTAATAACTCGATACCCAGAATCATCACGATACACTTCACTAGCAATAGAATTCTTGTTGGAATCAAAATCAGCTATATCCATACTAGTCAGAATCAGAGACAGCTAAATCCAGGACTTGGTATCAAAAACAGCTATGTCTAGCACAATTATTTAAATTAAACGGTTACTTTTTCTGCTAATTATGATTGTGTTGAAAAACCTATAAAATCACTGCAAGCGCCTTCTGCCAAATAAATTATATCTACAGAGTTACCAAGTAAAAATTTAAAAAATGTTTTTTGATATTTGTGTAAAAAAAGTGTGAATGGATTTAGCTGCCTTTGATTGTATACCCCTCAATTAAACCTAGTAAAATTTAATTCACGTACACTAACAGTCAAAGTTGAGAAGGCCTATGTTATAACAGCTTTGACAGGTCTTGGCCGTTTTTTAGAAACTAAAATGACTTCTATTTAGAAGTACCTTGCCTTGTACCTTGTAACTTTAGGTAAGGTACTCTAAGGTATCAAAATTATTTTTACGATATTCTTAGGAATATTCTTAGGGAGGGATATTCTTAGGTCTTAGAAAAAAAAAGACTGAAAGCCAACTCCTTCTGCAAAATTTTTGTTGTAAAATGATCTCCTTGCTATGATTTTAAGATTACTATACTAGTATACATTTATTTAAATAGCATTTAAATGTTTTCAAAGAAGGAGAAAATCCGCAAAGTGTACATGAGAGATGTTCAATATATATATGTGACAGAGAGAGATATAAGTGCTCTTTGAAGGCCATGTAAGTATTCTTTAAAGCTTACATGTCCAGTACAGTCCAAAAAATCTTAATGAACATTACGCCTTAAAAAGCTTCTCGCTCAATTATTTCCTAATCTGCACTCCAAACAGTTCCCAGTAAAGAAAACACTTAAGACTTGAGAGCCTTATTTTATTTAAATTCGTCATGTTTCTTAAGCGACATCTGTCACAGTAATTTATGATGAAAAAAATTGAAATGTCGACAAATTTAAGTCGACATTTCATGAAAATATTAAATGTACAAAGTAAAGTTCACAAAATACAAACGCACTAAAGAATATTTATAAAAAAGTAAAATAATTAACTTGAGGTGTGGAAGAATTCTTTCCTATTAATGTCTAATGGAAACAAACTCTGAAAAGTGGTTGCGTCACTGACGTCATAGTAAATGACAGACAAGTCACTGTGCAGAAAAGCACATCACACACATTGCTCAATGGATCAGTTATCCGTGTGGTAATGGATTAAGAATACGGAGTGTCTCCAACGAAACAAAGAGAACAAAGAAAGAACAAAGAGAATGAAAATTTGAGACAAACCCACACCAACTTGTCTGGCCAGCGTGGTATAATAGACCAAAAAATCCTTTCTAAGGAGAGGTTTATGTCCAACCAGTGGACTACAGGTGCTGGTGATGAAGTAATTTTTTTTTTTTGGGACTAATCCCACCCACACGCCCACCACTGTAACTCCTGTACACCAGGATCCACAGCAGTGACATTTCTTCCTGGGCATTTCTTGGCATAATTTAGCGTAATTTTTTTTTTTTTTTGGGACTAATCCCACCCACACGCCCACCACTGTAACTCCTGTACACCAGGATCCACAGCAGTGACATTTCTTCCTGGGCAGTGGCATTTCTTCCTGGGACTTCCCGAGTGTCATAACTCGGTGTGTTCGTGATGAAGTAATATTAGAAGTTAATTCTATCTGTTAAAAAAGTGGTCGGGGTACAAAGCGACTCGAAACCGATCGCAGTTCATACATTATTACCGTTCCGCCGTTTTAAAGTGCACACATGTATATCATGTCAGATTGGTTCTGTAATATATAGGGTTCACTCCAATTTGTTACGTGCGTAGTGCACGACGAATCATATCCAATTTCACATAAAAGGTTCGTCGGTCGTTAACTGTTGAGTTTACTCTATCCTGCCATCTCCAGAAGCATATACATGTAGAAGTCAGTAATGAAGGTAGTCAAGTTTATACAAAGTTCATATTTTGCTTTTGTGATTGAAAGTTTTTAAAGAACGAGGTTTCATAAAACTTTTTATTGCGATAGTTGATAGTTTTTGTAGTTTCTTACATGTTTAAACGTACATTTTTTTTCTTTTTAAATTTATTTAACACTTAAACAATGTAGGTAAATAACATTTTTGGTTTTGTGGTACTGTAAAACCACTAAGGTTTATTGTAAGTAATAAAATCCCTGCTGATATCAGGATGTTCACAAACCACCTTACATTCAAGACAAAAGTACGCGAATTTCTTCGGAATGAATCGGCAGAACAGTCCTCGTAATAAACGATTTTTATAAAATATTAAATTTATGTATGTGTATATGAAGTGTATGTATTGTGTATATTTCTGGACTTCTATGTGAATATAATAGTATAATGTAATGACTTTATATACTTTAGTTATATCCAATAACATGTACAACATGTGCATTAATTTTAAATAAAATAGTGAAAATAAAATAAATAAAGAAAGATAAACACATTCTCACACAGTATAAAGCAGAATGTAACAACACAACAATCGAACAAAACGAATAATATAACATGTGTCTAAACAATTGATTAATACAGTATGAGTCTAGAAACTATCATCGACATTACGTTTGGATATGTGAGTTATTTGATTATTTTTGGAGTGTGCTAAATCCTCTTACTAAATCGTTGGTTATTTGACTTGCGATGTACCTACTTACAGGACGGTTATTACCAATATGAAATATCAGAACTGCCTGTAGAAACTTGTGACTAAGTACTTATGAGACAGTACTGCGATAGTAGAAGCTTCTTCTTGTATTGCAAATCGTATCTAATAGATTCTAGTCACGCCACTTAAATGCCATAGTTTAACCTGAGTTTATTATGATAATATTTTATATAAAATGTTTTTTTTTGGATGAAAAAATCATCAGGATTACTAATATTCATCAACGAATTTTCATATATTATTCATGTGTAAAAAACACACAATATATTTATAATATTGTAAATTAAGATTAATACGAGTAAATAAATTAATGTTTGTCAAACGTCAAATTTCCTGACATTTCTGGCGTCATCGTAAGTCTGTGGACCTGTTATTGACAGGATCGTAATTTAATTCCCGTGTATAAACATAATTATATATCATGGAATGGGAGAGTTTAAAAGTTAGAATCATATGATCAAAGAAGGAAAATCACATGTACATAAGTTAGTGGTAATATATATGTAATATTGTATACGAACCTCGCAAGCAAAAAAGCATCAAGCACTTGCGGCTGCCTTGCATCTATAACTATGACATGCGGCTGTCGAGAATCGGCATCTCTTCGAAGTGCATCAAGAGCATCGCGGGCACATCGCACGGTGCGCGCTTCGCCGCCCGCGCGTGCCACCGCTGAGCACGCTGCTGCACACACTCGTGATGCGCGCTCCGGAAACACGCAAAGCAACTGGTGACAAATACATATTCGTTTAGTCATTATAACTAGTAAATAGTAGACATGGAAATTATTGCTACTTTCAAATCATAATCATTTTATTAAATTATTGGTTTTAGGCATTGTGATTTCACCTGTGATTGTGCTTTGGTTATAGACAAAGATAAATGCCATCAAAATCACTTAAAATTCTTTTTATTAAAGAACAAACTTTTATAATTAAATATTCCAAATAAGTGAGCGTTTGAGATTTAAAAGGCGCATCTAGCTATTTGCGTCTATTCAATTAAGAAAGTAGTATTTTTTACATTTTTTATACTAAAATGAAACGTTTTTTTATCAATTTAAACTAAAAAAATATATTATATTTTTATTACTATATGTCAAAGACTATTATTATGCCTATAAATTCCAATTTTTTATTATTTTAGTTTACTCAAAGCCAGCTAACGATTTCCCATTAAATTTATTAAAATACTATTTAACTATCGGGGGCAGACTGGTATTTTTTAATAATTAACATAATTGCCAGGTTGTTTGCTAATATGTTGAGAGTGCAAAAGTATTTTTAATTTTTTGAATTTAAATTTCCTTTATTTATGTAAATGGAGCAGTTAATGGCATACAAAGCAAACATTATGATACAAAATGCAAATAATGTGTAGATTAAGCACGCAATATTGAATACTACATTTATTATGTAGTATTCAATATTGCGTACGTACGTAAGTGTTGTACGAAATTTTGTTATTTTTATACAGGTATATTTCAAATTATACAACAAATTAATTAAATAAAGCAACACAAACAAAATCAATAATAGATAGAATGTCAAAGAAATATCACACTTTCATTAAAACATTTTGATATTGAATATTACATTTATTATGTAGTATTCAATATTGCGTACGTACGTAAGTGTTGTACGAAATATTGTTATTTTTATATAGGTATATTTCAAATTATAGAACAAATTAATTAAATTAAGCAACACAAACGATCTCATTATTAACAAGAATGTCAAAGAAATATCGCACTTTCATTAAAACAAAATTAATTACTAAAATATACTGAGTAATTAATTTTGACATCATTGAACTATATTTAGTTACTATAATTGTTAGCCATTATAATTTAGATACTCTTTCATTGAGTAGTAAGTCTTCTAACAAAATAATAAAATTATTGTTTCTTGAATAAAAGTATACTCTGCATATTTTAATAAATTTGGTAATTTATGCGATGAAAATATGTTACTTTGGGAGCCATTTTGACAACACATATGTTGTGGAGGAACGGGAGTTGTGTCCCTCCAACAAAGGGGAGGATCCTCCGACTCACAAAGCGAGATGGAATTTTCGATAATACAGGTGCCATAGTGAGAATCTTTAAGTTTAAAAAATGTGTCTTGCAATTTTCTGAAGATTAAGAATTACTAATTACTTGTATACGTTGTTTTTGACCCTTTTTTTTTTTTCCGTGCGGAAATCCCCTCGGATACCACCTGTCGGTGGTATGTCGGACTCGAACCGACTAAAACTGCACGCCGTCTCGGGTTCTAATAGCCGGGGAACCAGGTATACCCTAGAAAGGAAGTCCCTGGTACCCCGACATACCTCGGGTCATCTACAGACGAGTAGACGACCACCCCCGTGTGGGAACCCCATGTTCCCTGTGCTCCCTGGAAGCGAGCGCGCTTCGCAACGCGCTCGCCGCCACCCCGGCCTGCTTCTGCTAGGGTGACAGATGGCCTCACCTGTCACCCCCAGGCCTGCGCTTATGGGGGACGGAGGTCGTTCTGCGACCTCCGGCGCCTGAGTCGCCTGCGGTACCTGGCCCGTTCTGGGGCCTGGCGGGCCGGGAGAGTCCTAAACCTCTCCCGGTCCCGCTCCGCCGTCTCCTTTGCGAGCATAACTTGCTCGCAGAAGGAGACGGCAGAGTTCCACGCACTCTCGCTCCGCACGATAGCCGCAATCAGGCTATCGAGCGAGAGAACTCCCACTCCGATGGCCGCCACGAGGTCTCGCCTCTGCTCAACCCACGCCGGGCACTTTGCCAGCGTGTGGAGAGCCGTGTCCACGGTCTGTCCATCGCAGTGGTGGCACTCAGGCGTTGGCTCCTTGCGGATCAGACACAGGTGATCCCCGAAACATCCTTTCCCAGTGATCACCTGCGTCAGTCGGTATGAGAGGGTCCCGTGACGCCTCTCGAGCCAATACGCCTCCATAACGGGTCTTTGTTTTTGACCCCTAAAACCGAGTCTCTACCAGTTTCACTGCCCCAAAATTGTATGACAGGACCAGCATTTAGTACAATTATTGCTATAGATTTTATTCGGTTGTCTTCTTAGTATGTATTTTCACTGTAATCATTTAAAATCTTACCTCCAGCGGCTCTGGGGGCGCGTAGAACATGGCAGAAGGTATTTGCGCGGGCGGCGGCAACCTGTTCTGCAAAGAGAGATACTTCCATGTAACATACATTAACATTAGATTTCTTACAGCTAGTATCAGTTTTAAAGTAAAAAAAAAACCACTGAAGCACACAATACAGATATGTTTACAGTTTAATCGGTGGAAACACGTACTCCATGCTGCGTTCAGCTCAGCTCTACTCGATTTTTGTCTGATTCAAAAGGTACGAAATATTTTATCGACTTACTCTATCCCGCTTCAGTAAACACCTTTAATGTGCCCAACTCATCCCGAGTTTGTTTCTAAACTTGTTGAGAACGCTTTGAAAAGTAATAAAAAGTTTTTTACATGCTAATAAGATAAATTTGTATAAACTCTACAGTGCGTGTGCTTATTTTGTCCTATTTGTAAACCTAGTACGTTAAAGAAAATTGCTTATCTCTAAAAGCTTTAACAATAAAAGGAAAATTTACGCCTTTTTTTAAAGGTCTACTTGCAACCGAAATTACTAGTATTCCCGTTAACCCCCTTAAATTGCTTGTGTTATAAGTGGGTTCACGTCGGTAGTATACTGGTCAGGATTCGAACCCACGACCTCTTGATCGCAATACACAATAACCACTAGGCTACCACCGCTTTAAAAAAGTATATTTATTATAATGTGATTATTAAGAAATATTTGTGATCCATATATGTGGGTTCGGGTTCGAATTCCACATACATATATAATGCGTGATGAGCAGGATCATTTATTCTGTATCAAGGAGTTCACATCAAAAGCCTCTAACAGTCCACTGCTGGACATAAGCTTCTCCTTAGAAAGGAGGTTTTGGACTACCTATCAAGAAGTAATTTATTTAAAATATAAAAGTATTTAGAAATATGTAAGCATCAGCAGTCTGGTTACAACAGCACTTTTATTTCACTTGATTACTCGTATTATTTTCATTAGGTACTTTTATTTATATCGTTTTTAATTCAAAGCTAAAACCTAAACAAATGATGGTTTTTAAGGTTTTAATTAGTAGCTTTGTTGAGATAATGAGTGTTAATGTAAATTATGTAATATTAAATAGTGGTCTTACAATATATTTCTGCGGCTCTGTACCTTTTAAAAAGAGTCCGGACTTCTTAACCATTTTACCAAGCCTTATAAAACCAATATAAAAATTCAGCTTTATCACCTTTACAAGTACTTCTACACCCAGAATTACATCAAGTTTCCGAACATTCGAATATATGCGGTTAAGGGGTACGACCTCATAAACTCTGACTTCGCAAGGTCATTTATAAAGATGCCTAGAGATGCCTGATGCCTAGAGCTACTTTGATCAGTTCATTCAAATCATTTCAATGGTTCCAATGTAGAGTATTTATTCCCAAAGAGCAGGACTATTTTGTCTTTAACTAGGCGAATATATTATGTATCTTTACATAGTCTATACTAATATTATAAAGCTGAAGATTTTGTTTGTTTGTTTGTTTGTTTGTTTGTTTGAACGCGCTAATCTCAGGAACTACTGGTCCGATTTGAAAAATTCTTTCAGTGTTAGATAGCCCATTTATTGAGGAAGGCTTTAGGCTACATATCATCACGCTAAGACTAATAGGAGCGGAGCACCAATGAAGAATGTTTCAAAAACGGAGAAAATTTATTACTATTGAGAGACGCAGACGAAGTTGCGCGGGTCAGCTAGGATAAAATAAAATCGTTTTTTTTGTGTTGTAAGCTTAGATCTTTTAAACTAAGCAACAGATTTTAATGCGGTTTTCACCAATAGAGAGAATGATTAAAGAGGAAGATGTTTTTGAATTCATGTGTGATACATGCATATTATAGTTAGGAAAATTCGAGAATTTCAAAGATTTGTTATAAACGCTGGCTAAATCTTACGAGAGAGACTAGAATAATCTTCTAAGGATAACCCACAGTTACCATTTTTATCTTTTAAATATTACAAAAAAATAATGGCTCATTTACGAAGCTATTTTAGCAATACGTTATTATTCCTTATCCAAACCAATATGTTAAATACGTTGTGCATTTAATGTAGATTAAAGTTGATATTTGCTGCATATCATTAAAATAAATATTTAGAAGATATTAGAGGTTTCAAATGCGGGGGCCGTCGAGCCGAATGTCCGTCCCGGATAGTAGCGGCCGGCAGGATCGGAACGGGCCCATAAATATTGCATTAAATGTCTTGCAGTATATATAGTCCTATCATAATAATAATATAATTTATTATTTCGTACTGACAACACATTAGTAGTATTTTTGGTTACTGAGAATTGTGTGTGTGACTCCTGTTCATCCCGGGGGTGTCGTAGGAATCGACTACGGGAGTAAATTACATAGGACAACAACCCTGAAAAGAAAAGGAAAACTTGAAACAAACTTTATAACAACCCGTATGGACAGCGTGGTATAGTAGGCCAAAATTTCCTTTCTAAGCTATGTCCAGCAGTGGACTATTAAAGGCGTTGATGATGATGCTGAAAAAGTTCATGATTGTGTTTTGTTTGGTAGTACCTATCGCGAGTAGAATATCCGCGCTAACACTAGTTTAAAAGCATTTTATATTGCACGATATTGCCATCTTGCCATAATCAATTCCATCAACTTATTTAAGGGGTACATTAAATTAGGATTCTATCTATCCCAAGATATCCCTTGGGTAATCTCCACGCAACCGAGTAACTGGACCGAAGGCGTGCAACAAACAACGTCTAAGTTCCATTATCACAAGTACCTACTTCTACGTAGTTTATAAATTGTTTACAATTTAAACTAGTACTTGACCGTTTAGGTTAAAAGGTTTTTTATTTTTTAGAAATTAAAGAAGCAAATTGTAAGTTTTGTTTTAAGCTTGCGAATGTTTTAATGCTCTAGTGTTGTTTTATGAGTATTTTTTAAATTTTTATTTAAACAATAATTAAGAAGTTTTGCACATTGCAAAGTTAAGCAATCTTAACTTGTGAGATGGGTGACAATTCTTAACAAATTAAGGCTTCTCCGAGCAATAGAGATTACGTTTAGCCGTCGGTTCTGGTTATAATACGAACATCTGTGGCATGCGTTACGAGTGGTTGGAGTCCTAAAAAAGTCCGACAACTGTTTATCTACGGAACTTTGATATAACCTAGTACTTGGGCTGTGGAGATCTCATGGCAGTCGCTCACCGTCAAAATTACTATGTTCAGCCGTATCTTAGTAGACTGAAAGCCGACTCCGACACCGTTTGGGAAAAGGTTTGAAGGATGAGGATGATGTGTATTTTATTAAAAATAAACTATGGAAAACGGTTAATGTTATGGAAAGTTTATACTTGTGTCTACTCGTAGTAAGTAATGTATGTATAATTTTAACAAAAGCGGTGTTTACCTACCAGTACTCGTAACTGTTACATTGCTTTTCTTTAGCATGTTTATATTACAAGTTTTGATAAAACAATTGTTGGCAAACCTTAATAAAAAAAGTTAGGATTTTTAATGATAGGATTTTTTCTTTCACAAATCTCGATTTTATTCCGCCAAATATTGACATTTTTAAACATTGATGTAATACCAATTATTGAAATACATCACTAATCGTAAGGATATTTTACTTTTAGTATGAATATGACGTCATGACGAATAATAATGTAATATTCACGAAACATGCAAAATAAAAGCTGCAATTTGGAACAGAAACCCAGAGGTTTATTTAACAACGAATAAACGTTAATATTATATCCAGTTTTGCTTAAAACCGTAAGCACAAAGAGAGATGAAAATACAATAATCATAGGGGCATTCAGCAGTAATTACAGCATTTACAGAAGTTTATTCAACGTGAAATAAAACTGAATGCAACTAAATGGTAACTCTAGATTTGTTAATTCGTTGGCATTTTTATTTCAGTGTACAGTGTTATTTGATTTGGTCGAGCACTGTTTTTTTAAATCAATAATTTGTGTAAAACCAATAATTTGGTGCGTCCTGTATGGTTCTGAATGTTGGCCCATTAAGACAAAAGATGAGAGACGCCTGAACGTTACCGAAATGCGAATGCTGAGATGGATGTGTAGTGTGACTCGGATGGACAAAGTCAGAAATGAGTATACACGAGGAAGTCTGTAAATAGCGCCGCTGGATGCAAAGTTAAGAAGTAACAGGTTATCTTGGCATGAGTATGTCATGCGGAGGGATGAGGAAAATGTGGGGAGGAAAGTGTTAGGTATGGGAGTTGAAGGGTACAAGAGAAGAGGAAGACCAAAGAAAAGGTGGATGGACTGTGTGAGAGAGGATATGGCTAGAAAGGGAGTAACAGTGAACTGAGTACAATGGAAGAATAATACATATTGCGCCTACCCAAAAAAGGGTAGTTAGATGATGATGATGATGATAATATTTTAGATTAGAGAGTATTATAGAAATACAGTTAAAATATCTTACTTCGGGACTATAGGTATTATAGGTCCGTGTGGTGACGGATTAAGAATACGAGGTGTCGCACCCCTATTCATCCTGTGCGAGTCGTAAGAGCCGACTAAAGGACCAAACTACGCAGAACAAAAGCACTGCAAAGAGAAGGAAAACTTGAAACAAAGCCCATACCAACCCGTCTGGCCAGCATGGTATAGTAGGTTAATGCCTCCTTTCTAAGGAGCCTATGTCCAGCAGTGGACTATTAAAGGCTGTTGATGTGATGTGATGTGATATTTTTATAAACTCATTAAACTACGTGAACTAATGCTGATTTCATTCCTCTCTAACAGATGTTTTGTATATATTTTTTTTATTTTTAGACATAAAAACGATAAGGGATGCGATGTGAAAAGATGGTTAAATGAAAAGATAAGTTTTTTGAAAAGATAAGTTTAAAACTGATCCAACTTTTGTCTGTGTAGACCGCAATTATAGAAGAGGTTTGCGGCGGTTGAACAACAAACCCTTAATAGAAATACTTCGTTATTTGTTTGTGATTAGATGTTAAACAATCAGCTTATTTGTAATGTTATTTACGAGAAAAGCCGCAAGCAAAGTTGTTCAAA